TGGTTCTTGGTTGTGGTGGGGCATGGCGGCGGCGGCGTCGGCGTCGTCGCCGGTGGAGTTCCTGCTGCGGCGGCCGGCGCCGCGGCGGCGGCGGCTGCCGCTGGCGGGGGCGTTCTTCGCGCCCACGGGGCTCGCGGGGGCCACGCTGCTCCGGGCGGTGGCGTCGCTCGCCGCCTCGCTGGTCGCGGGGGCCAGGCCGCCGTCGCAGCGGCGGAACGTCGACGCGCTCGCCCGCCGCCTCGCGCTGCTGTCCGCGATCCTCGAGTCCATCCTCCTCGACACCGCGGCGGCGGGCGCCTTCTCCGACGCGGCCAACCTCTGCTTCCGGGAGCTCTACGTCGTGCTCTTCCGCGCCGAGCTGCTCGTCTCCTACGTCGCCTCCGCCGGCCGCGCGTGGGCGCTGCTACGGAGCCCGCACCTCGCCGCCTCCTTCCGCGACCTCGACGCCGAGCTCGCCGTCGTCCTCGACGTCCTCCCGGCGGCATCACTCCGCCTCTCGCACGACGCCACCGGCCTGCTCGACCTCCTCCGCGCCCACTGCCGCTGCCGCGCGCCCGCGCAATACCATGACCCCGACGAGGCGGCGCTCCGGGAACGCCTCATGGATGCGCTCCGCCAGTTCGACCTCGGCCAGCCACCTGACCACCCCTCGCTCCAATCGCTCCTCGCCGACATGGGCATCTCCACCGCGGCTTCTTGCCGCGCAGAAATCGATTACCTGGAGGAGCAAATCTTGAGCCAAGAAGAGGACACCGACCTGCCGCTCGTCGGCAGCGTCCTCGCCTTGCTCCGCTACTGCCTATTCGCCGTGTTCGACCCTAGCAACGCGAAGGCGCTCCGGGATTGGCCGTTGTCGGGCAACAGGCAGCGGCTTCTCTCGATTGGCGGCGGCGATGACACCTCCTTCTCGGTGCCAAAGGAGTTCTCATGCCCAATTTCTCTGGATTTGATGCGTGATCCCGTGGTGGCGTCCACCGGGCAGACGTATGACCGGCCGTCGATCATACAGTGGATCGAGGAGGGCCATTCCACCTGCCCCAACTCCGGCCAAACCCTTGCAGATCACCGGCTTGTGCCGAACCGTGCTCTCCGCAGCTTGATTTCACAGTGGTGTGGGGTGTATGGCTTGCAGTATGATTCGCCCGAGAGCAACGAGGGGATGGCGGAATGTGTTGCTGCATCTTGCAGTAGTCGGGCTGCAATGGAGGCAAACAAGGCCACAGCTAGGATTTTGGTCAGGATGCTGGAGGACGGGTCAGAAAATGTAAAGGCAGTCGCTGCTAAGGAAATTCGGTTGCTGGCAAAGACCGGGAAGCAAAACCGGGCTTTCATCGCCGACTTGGGTGCGATTCCGCTGCTTTGCAGGTTGCTCTTGTCGAATGATTGGATGGCACAAGAGAATGCAGTGACAGCGCTGCTCAATTTGTCAATCTTCGAGCCAAACAAGGGACGGATTATGGAACAGGAAGGCTGCTTGCGGCTTATCGTCGGTGTTCTACAGAATGGATGGACTACGGAAGCGAAGGAGAATGCTGCGGCCACTCTGTTTAGTCTATCAGTGGTCCATAATTTCAAAAAACTGATCATGAATGAGCCTGGGGCTGTTGAGGAGCTGGCTAGTATGCTGACCAAGGGGACATCAAGGGGGAAGAAAGATGCGGTGATGGCACTCTTCAACCTCTCAACACATCCAGAAAGCTCAGCTCGGATGCTCGAGTCATGCGCAGTTGTAGCTTTAATTCAGTCGCTGAGGAATGACACCGTGTCGGAGGAAGCTGCTGGTGCTTTGGCCCTGCTGATGAAGCAACCATCCATCGTGCATCTTGTTGGGAGCTCTGAAACTGTGATCACTAGCCTTGTTGGGTTAATGCGGCGGGGAACTCCAAAAGGTAAGGAAAATGCAGTCTCAGCTTTATATGAGATTTGTCGTCGGGGCGGCTCTGCTTTGGTGCAGAGAGTAGCAAAGATTCCAGGGTTGAACACAGTAATACAGACCATCACCCTCAACGGAACAAAGCGCGCCAAGAAGAAAGCAAGCCTGATTGTCAAGATGTGCCAGAGAAGCCAAATGCCATCAGCAATGGCACTAGGGAGCACATTGACAGTCGTTGATCGTTCATTGGTAGGGAACAACACATTAAGGCGTGCTGCGAGCTTTGGCAGTGGAGAATTGTCAAACCCGATTTCGATATCAGTGCAGGTGCCCTAGGTGAAAGGTTTCTACCCTGGATTATATGGATGGTTACATTTGGTGAGTTTTGTCCCCAAAATTCTTTCATTTCATGCTCCAATGAAGGTATACAAAATTTAATCCAAAGGATTTAATACTCGAAATATATCAGATGTTCCTATGTTTGTGTGTGAAATGTGGATAACTGTGCAGACATATAGATGTGCAATTAGAGTTCCAGCTTGATGTTCCTCCTTGGCAAGCTCGGAAATTGTCCAATTTTTGTTTTATTTTTTTATAAAAAAGCACCAAATATGTATGCTGTATGCTGTAAACTGTTTAAATTAATTAGAAGCTTTACACTGAGGCAACAGTGGAAAGAAATGGTATTTCATTTCACCAATGGGATTGCAATACAACATAGACTTTCACATTTACTCTACAAAAGCCAGCTTAAAATTAATTAAGTATGTAGTATATCTTAAAAAGTAACTCTAGCTATTCTAGCATAGGAAATGAACAAAAAAAATTGCACTATCAACACAGACCCCCCCAATCTGAACTCTTCCAGCATGGAAATTGTTGGGAGAGAATGAGTGGTGTAGAAACTGTGCTACTTTAGGACAATCTCTACTTTGTTGAGGAGAAGATTGAAAGGACAAAGTTGATCATGCAACTGAAGAGGAGGGGGACCATCAATCCACTGAAGGCCAGAAAACACTACCGGTGAGTAAAGATGATGTTCTGGAATACAACAGCTCAATGGAAACAGGGTGCGCCGGCGGCAGTAACCTGATTGGTATCAGAAAGTTTTATTTCACAATGGAACCCAGTTTCCACTCACCGAGGCACCGAGCTGGTGTGTTCTTCGGGAGAAGTCGTGTGGAATATCACGCTCCTGATGGAAATTTCCCTGCTTCCATTTGAACAAGGAGCACAAGCCTGCAACAACCATAATAAAAGGTGGATCAAGTCAGGATACCTGGACTGATGACCTTTTGAGAAGAATAAATCTTAATTGGTGACTTTTGCAGTTGCATGACAGTTCTTGGCAAAGTTGCCAAACCTTCAAAATTATTACTATATGTTTATCACATATGGTACAGTAGGATACGAACAAATTATGTGTGAATCTTTTTTAGTTAGGTTGGCTACAATCTGAACGAAGACAACAATCGAAGTTTGCTAGGTGTAGGTGGTGCAGAGAATCTTTCTGTTATATGGGAGTATGGAACTGACTCCTGTACCTTCTCAATCATCTGAATTTCTTTATCGTCCGAATTTTCCTACCATCATCAGCCCATCAGTCTTCATCACCTCTCTTGACATTTTGTGCCTGAAATATCTTCCCTCATCTGATGTCTACCTAACAAGGTTCCTGTACAAATTCACACCATGATCACGTTTTCGTACTTAATTATCCTCACCGTTTCGTCAGCTTCCAGGGTCGGTAGCCATGTATTTCAAACGAAAACGTGTGTCCAGTTCTCGACTTTTCGGCTTGACGAAGAAGACCGTCGCCCAAAATCTGCACATTTTCACACTTGGGCCATTTTCATTTTACATGCCGGTTTTTACCGTGATCAGAAACTTTTCAGAATTCATACTTAACAGTAACAGATTAGGCGAATTTCGGAAGAGTTTTGGCGTACCTTGCGTGCGAATTGGATCGGAAATCATGTGGATGATATGCTGGTCTCCAAGGCCTGTGGCTGATCGTTTCAGTTGGGCTATGAGCTGGACCTGTGATTCTCATGACCGTGAGGTTGATGTGCTGAAGCAGCTCGATCTGGCAACCGGAGATACGGTATCAGGATGGTTCTCGGCGCCGGATTTGTGGTTGCCTTGAGCTCAGGTCGGGGTCGCTAACATGGATGTCTCGGCAACCAATCAAATCAAATTCATCTGTAGAAAAATGAGAGGAAAACCACACATATCAATGGCGTGAGTAGCGACTTCAGTTGAGTCGAAAGATCAAACTGGGACATTTCAGTGGTTACCGCTGGCCAACATGCTTGGAACGCAGAAATTTTTATTTACTCATGTGAGAATTGAAATGTCTTAAACCCTGTAAAATTATGCATTGAAAATGGGCCTTGAATGGATCAGAAACATAGTAAACAAACCCAACGGAAAATAAAGATAACGTCTGTGCGGATACAAAAGGGTTAAAAAATTGAAAAGAAAAAAAAAAGAAAAGCTGATACTGCAATCAGGCAAAACTGAACGCAGATGCTGTCTATACGTTCATGGATGCGTGAATAAAAACACGTCAGTTAAAACTCTAATCGGATTGAGATCCGGTGCAGTTATAAACTCTAACCAGCATCATAGGACTGTTATGTATTTTCAGCCGTTTATTTTAATGATCAACAGTTCAGATTCACTGCTATAGTACTCGAACAACAGTAAAATAAGCAATGTTTTATATTACAACACTTTTGCCACAGTATCAAATTAATCTGTACCGTTTAAGTTTGATCCAACTTAGCAGCTACAACTGCTAAAGTTGCAGTCAATAATATAATTGCAGCTGATTCGGATCAAACTCCAATCAGTCAGTGTGTGCTTCACATTCTGTACCAACAAGTAACATTAACTATGATCTGACGGGACGCTTTGGAAGACGATTAAAAAGATTAGGCAGAATACTGTCAATTACCTGGGTAACATCAGATGCGTGTTTACTCTTTACCTTCATACGCAAAAGCTGTGGTACTCCCTGCCGAAGTCTTCATCAAGTCATAATGCCACGGCTGATCTTGATTGTACGATTTAGAAAGAGTCGTGATGCTAGCCAACCAAAACTGCAGCAACAGACTTGTATTTTTCAGTTGTTCACGTCAGAGAGTACACATGAAAAAAATCGTATCCCAGTCGAACTAAGCAAGCCAGTCATTACGAGTATGAGCTTCCAGGTCAAAGATGTACGAACAAGGCTTCTTTTTTCCATCAAACACGAAAATAAAACTCGAAAAGTTTCACTAAGTTTCCATAAAATAAATTCTAGAGTGAAAATCAGAGAAAGAAAGGAATGACGGTCGAATAGCATTGCTTCTAGTAAGTAGTCACCGACCCAGTTTCTTGTTGAAATATACAAGTACAAAATGTAAGATTTGCAAACACCAGCATCGAGATTATCAAATATGTCAACGGGAAGAACGACCGTGCGTGCAAAATTCATCAGGTTGCTGATGTCGGTGAAGAAGTTGAACCTGCACGGTTGCATGAGTGCGCTGCATGACTACAATTGGCTGCTAATAACTAGTGCTCTACATGACTACCTTCCAACAATTTGTTTAAGTCTATACTAACAAACCAAAGGCCCACTGATTCCTGACCCAGTTTGTGCAGTAAGTAGTCAGCTGATCAAACGGCACCTTGGTTTGCAGAAATTACCTGGGTTAATACACTCCTATCATTTTAGCAAAAGGAGGCATGAGAAGCTATATGATTGACTGCTTCATGTAGCACAGAACTACATTGAAAGGTGGCAGTGGATATCAAGTATCAACAGCCGTCAGCAGATTGTTTCTCCTGTGCAAATTATATTAGCATAATGGGACTTGAGCACCACTAACTCTCCACTCATCCAATTGTCCAATTGTTTAACCTGATACACGAGCACCTGCCATTGTACGATGTTGCCTCCCAAAACAAGCTCCATACTCCTAGCCTCTCATCTGAGGCTCTGAAACCTTTCGTCTCAAACAAAAGATCACATAATCTGTCCCCATCTCCCATCCAAGAAGAACTCACATACCAACCATGCCTTGGGCTGAAAGCTTGCTGTTCCTCCTCCTCTTGTTCTCGCTGCCCATTCCCTTCTCCCATTCTTGGTCCTTTGATTATCCCAGCCCCATTGCCAACATTAATTCTCTTTGGACGAACAACAATGCCACCATCCCATACAGTGCAACCTACCCAGATGGTTCAACGATCAGAGCGATTCTTGTTAGGCAGAATCCTACATGGTATAGTCCATTCTTCGCATGTGGTTTCATCTGCACCGCTCCTTGCAATGATTTTCTCTTTGCCATCTTCTCGGTGTCCGTTGGTGATCCGAGCAACCCTGCCTTCAATACCTCGTCCATGCCACGGATCATGTGGACAGCCAACAGGTCCCGTCCAGTGAAGGATAATGCGTCACTCCAGTTCAAGGATGGCAATCTCATACTGCGAGACTTCGATGGTTCTCTGGTCTGGTCGACGAACACATCGGACAGCCGTGTTGTCGGTCTGAATCTTGCTGAAACTGGGAATATGGTTCTCTTCGACGCAATGGGGAAGACGGTGTGGGAATCATTTGAGCACCCAACTGACACGCTCCTTCTTGGGCAGTCACTGAGGCAAGGGAAGAGGCTTACTTCAGATTCCTTGGCAACAAACTGGACTCAAGGTCAGTTCTATCTCACTGTACTTGACAATGGTTTGTATGCTTTCATCGAAGCAGATCCACCACAGCTCTATTATCAAAGAAGATTCAATATCACTGATGCCATAGTTCAGCCAAATATGAACATATCCTCTGATGGAGCAAAGAACTACACGACTTACATTTCCTTCTTAAAAGGTAGCCTGTCAGCATTTGTTAGCTTCAACAATACTGATATCAATCTATTCGATATATCACTGCCGTCGCCATCTTCAGCACAGTTCATGAGCCTCGAGAATGATGGGCACTTGAGAGTTTATAGATGGGATGGTACTTCGTGGAAACCTCAGGCTGATGTTCTGCATGTGGATCTTGATGATTGTGCATATCCCACAGTATGTGGAGATTATGGTATCTGTTCCGAAGGACAATGCAGTTGCCCGAGTCGGAATTCTGGGGATGAAGATCAATTTTTCCGCCAATTGGACAACCGGCAACCTAACATGGGCTGCTCCCTAGCAATTCCTCTGTCTTGTGACTTGACCCAATATCAACAGCTTCTCCCCCTCCCAAATGTCATGTACTTCAATTTAGGACAAAATTGGACCACCGACGAATATAGCTGCAAGGAGGCTTGCTTGAAGGCCTGTTCATGCAAAGCAGCCTTTTTCAAGTATAACAATGTCTCTAATGGTTCTTGCTACCTAATGCCAAAGCTTTTCTCACTCATGAATTATCAGCCTGAAGTAGTTGGATACAATTTATCTGCATACATCAAGGTGCAAATGTTACCTCCACCACCAAGAAGCAAACAATTAAATCCATTAGTTTACCATGTTGGTGCTCCTATTATAGTTGCAGTTATCTGCATAATTATTCTCATCATCAGAAGAATAATGAAAAGGAAGATGGATGATGACGACCCATTTAAAGGACTGGCTGGCATGCCAACACGGTTCTCCTACAAACAGCTGAGAGAGGCGACTAATAACTTTAGCAAAAAGCTGGGACAGGGAGGATTTGGGCCAGTGTATGAGGGAAAACTTGGAAATGTTAAAATTGCCGTCAAATGCTTGCGTGATATTGGCCATGGAAAAGAAGAATTCATGGCCGAAGTCATCACCATTGGAAGCATCCATCACATCAATCTTGTTAGATTGATAGGATACTGTTCTGACAAGTTTCACAGGCTCCTTGTTTACGAGCATATGACCAATGGGTCTCTAGACAAGTGGATCTTCAGAAAGAACCCAAGAGGTACACTCAGTTGGGCAACTCGATACAAGATTATACTGGATATTGCAAAAGGCTTGGCCTATCTTCATGAAGAATGCCGACAGAAGATTGCTCACCTTGATATCAAGCCTGGTAATATCCTCCTTGATGACAAGTTCAATGCAAAGATATCTGATTTCGGTCTAGCAAAGCTGATCGATAGGGATGAAAGCCATGTCATGACAAAAATCAGAGGAACAAGGGGATACCTAGCACCAGAATGGTTGTCATCAACAATTACCGAGAAGGCTGATATCTACAGTTTTGGTGTTGTTGTGCTGGAAATTGTGAGCGGAAGGAAAAACCTGGATAACAATCAGCCTGAAGCGAGCAACAACCTAATCAATCTACTTCAAGAGAAAATCAAGGTCGGCCAAGTTCTAGATATATTGGACAATCAGAACGAAGAAATCCAATTACACGGGGAAGAAATGATAGAAGTGATCAAGCTAGCAGTCTGGTGCTTGCAGCGCGACTGCAGCAAACGACCAGCCATGTCACAGGTTGTGAAGGTCCTGGAAGGCGCGATCGACACGGAAACATCCGCAGGCTACGATGCAGCTAGTAAAGATGATATTAATTTTGACGCTTCATCCCCTCTGTCCCCAGCACCAGTGTCAGCACGATGAAACTCTTTTTAAGTAGGAACACCGATACTTGTTACAGTTTAGTTGCAGTACTGTGTGCAGTGTGCTAGTGTGCATCTCATGTAAATTTGTCCCTTGTAATATGTAACATCCTCATCAATGTGTGAATGAATGAAATATTATAACGATTTTATTATCGAGCTATTTCATGGTTTCCCAAGTAACAAGACGAACAGCAAAGGTAGCATGTGAAGGGCTAGGGAAAAGGTAACATCCGAACCTTGCCATGCTCGGCCACGCATTTCGTCGAACACGCGGAGGGCCGACACCATCTGTGCCCCCCCGACCGCCGACGGGGAGGCCACGCCGAGGGACACCGCCCCCGGACTGTCGGCGCCGCGCGCCGCGTGCACGCTCGTGCACCCACCCCGTAGGAATCACTCGACGCCGCAGCCCATCCTCATCCGGCGCGGCGCGGCGGGCGACGCCGGCGAGGCTGGCATGACTCACGAGCGCCAGCGCGCGGCGACGAGGGAAGCGGGAGAGAGGGAAAGAATTATAAAATAATAAAATAAAAATCTAAGCGCGACTCGAGCACTGCACGAATCTCGAGGCGCACGTGGCCCGTGCTGCGGCGGCCACGTGGGCGCCCGAGGACTCGGAAGAGTTTTGTGTGGCCGTGGTATCCTCTTCCCTCCACTCCACTCTCCAACTTCTCCCGCAGCATCGCCGCCGTCGTCGTCGCCGCCGCCGCCGCGAGGTGAGGGCTCGTAGCACCGTCCGGGAGGGCGGAGGAGGAGGAGAGATGAGCTGCTGCGCCGCCTCGTCTTCCTCTCCGGTTCTCGCCAACCCCCGGGTGAGTACGCACGCCCTACCCCGTCTTCGCCTTGCCGGCCCGCCGCCGCCGTCCTCTCCATCGACGGCGGCGTGAAATTCCTGCAGGAATCCGATGCGTTCCCCTTCCGCTAGTTCATTTCAGCCGCCATCATTGGTCTTAGCGGACTTAGGGCAAGATCAATCCCGCCGCGAACAAACCCGCGCGCTTCCGATTTTTCTCACAAATTCTTCGGTTCGATGTGCTCGTGGAATCGAATCGTCGGCGCGAATTCGCTAGTTCGTTGGGATTCCGAAAGGGAGGGAATGTTCCGAAGAGAATCGATTTTATAATATGTCTGGATTTATCTTTCACCAAGGTCCCATGGTCTAGCGGTTAGGACATTGGACTCTGAATCCAGTAACCCGAGTTCAAATCTCGGTGGGACCTATTTTTTCTCCATTTTTTTTCTGACTCGCTGATCCTTGCTAGGATGTGGCTACATCCAAAACACCATTTGCTGAGTCGAGGCGTCGAGCTGAATCCATTTGCTGAGTCGAGCTGAATTTATATATGCTCCATGAAATCTTTGCTACGAATTTATGCTTTGTTTTCATTTCAAGGATGTTGCTGCATCAAAACACCATTTGCTTAGTTGAGCTAAATTTATAAATCCCCATGAAATCTTTGCAACGAATTTATGCTTTGTTTTCATTTTTTATTTTAAACTTTCAGGGGGGATTCGCTGCTAGCTGCTCAACAAGAAGGAACCACAGGGTGATCTTCCTCGGTTCAAGGCAGTTTTCTCCGATCATATACAGCCCAGCACGCCGCGCGTCGTCACGGCTGTCTCGGAGAGAGGTGATAGCTTTTGCAGGCCAGCAATCTTGGGATATCGGCAGATTTGTCAGGACGCTGTATTTCTTCAACGGGCCACCGAATCCTCTCAAGGTTTACTCACTGTATTGGGATTTTTTTTCACCTCTTCTCGTTACAGTTATTTCACATTTGGCATTGTGCTCATGTTTTGTCTGTTCAATCTGTAGATTGTAGAGTCCATTCTTAGCAGTTTCACTGGCTCTGCTCCTGGTGAGGTGCCAAAGAAAATGGAATCTTCTGATGTGGTGCTGGTCACTGGAGCTACCGGTGGCGTTGGACGAAGAGTGGTTGATATCCTGCGGAATAAGGGAATACCCGTTCGAGTATTGGTACAATACTTGTCAAGCTTATCTACTTTTGGCTTCTCTGTTTTCATTCATTATTACATGGATAGTCCAACTTCTCCCTCTTTTGTTGGATCTTTGCTGCTCTTAATGTTGATCTAACATTTCAAATTTCAATTCAGGCTAGAAATGAAGAGAAGGCGAGGAGCATGCTGGGGCCCGATGTAGACTTGGTAAGCCACTTGTTTAGCTGGATTTAGATTCATGTTCCATGTGCGGTTTAGTTTCAACCAACTAGGTCTATTTCAATACCCCATGTATTCCAATATGCATTACCCTTACCCAATACCCAATGTATTCCAGCAATATGATTGCCTGAGGTAAGTCTCACTGTTACATTTCTGCTAACCTTCTAGTTGTGAATGAAATGAAACTAGGGAATTTTGTTCTTAAATGATAGTGAAAATTTCTGTGTATTTTTTATGACATTTTGTTTGAAGTGACCACGTATATGCAATGATTCACTACATATAATGAACCTTCCTATCTCATTGCTAGTTTGCATATGGTTTATGTGGTTATTGAATCTTCCACACCTGTAAAGACGGAAGTATTGAATATTTATATTATTAAAATTTCTATTTTGTGTCAGATCATAGGAGATGTCACAAAGGAAAATTCACTTGATCCCAAGTACTTCAAAGGGATTAAGAAAGTGGTAAATGCAGTGTCAGTTATAGTTGGGCCAAAGGAAGGCGATACACCAGACAGGCAGAAGTATAAACAGGTACGCCAAATGCCCTATCATATGTTACCAATATTTCACGTACTCTACTTTACACCCTACAAACTTACATTTAATCTCATCTTCATGCAGGGCATCAAGTTTTTTGAACCTGAGGTAGCTGCATCAATACATTCCTTCTCTTGTAGAATATAAGTAACAATGGATGACTGACATCCTCATTCCCAACATACAACATGGAAATATTGCATCAGTTTGCACTTTTGCTCGTTCAAAAGCTAGTTCATTATATTATTTTGTTATGCCTATCAGATCAAGGGACCTTCACCTGAAATGGTAGAATACCTTGGAATGCAAAACTTGATTAATGCTGTCAAGAACAGTGTGGGTCTGACTGAAGGGAAACTGCTTTTTGGGGGCACAGGTAAATCTTTCATTCCATACCAAAATGTTTTTTGAAAGAAATATCGGAGATTTAAATCTACACTCAACTCAACTCATATTCATTAGGGGACCTCCATAGTACCCAAAAACTTTGGTGCAAGATCTGCGGGAAATCCAGTTTTTAGTAATTATGGTGATCATAACAGTGATTTTTTTCAAAACAACAAAATAGTGAATTGCTTGCAACTGAATCATGTATAAATTTATTTTTCCATCCCTACATGTGTATACATTTGTATGTTAGTTGTCTTTCAATATATAAGTTTTTTTTCCTTATCACAACATGTTAGTTATTTTATTTAGGCAACTTATCCGGAAAGATTGTTTGGGGAGCACTTGATGATGTTGTGATGGGAGGTGTTAGTGAAAGCACATTCCAAATCCAACCAACAGGAAGTGAAACTGATGGACCAACCGGATTGTTCAAAGGTATTTTGTTTTTTTTTAATGATCCCTCGACTCCTTGTATATGCGATGTGGCAATTCTTTGGAAAACCTCTAGTCTAAGCAGGTCTGTGCAATGTATTCTAGGTACTGTCTCTACTTCAAATAACGGTGGCTTCACTAGTATAAGGACAAAGGTACCTACTGACATGTATTTTCCCAAAAAAAAAAAAAACAAAGTTGCTGCCGTTTTGTGTGTTGATTTATATTTTATTTCCATGTCCTAACTATTAGGAATAATTAATTATTTGTCACTCTTACAGATGGTGATAAATAATTTGCCACTGGACCCACATGTCATAGACAAATGAGGACCCACATGTCATAAACAGCGAGTGGCAAATAATTAATTGCCACATCTTAAAAGTGGTACAAAGTTAAATGTCCCTAACTATTATTGTGATATGTTACTCTGATTGCAGAATTTTACAGTGCCTGAGGATCTGTCAGCATATGACGGTATTGAACTACGTGTTAAGGGTGACGGGAGGCGGTATAAACTTATTGTGCGCACTAGCTTTGAATGGGATACTGTCGGCTACATTGCAAGCTTTGACACGACTAAGGGGGAATGGCAAAGTGTATGTTGTATTTGTTGATTTATTGAAAAAAATACGTCCCTTTGTTTCAGCAACTTACAGCTATGCTTCTTATTGATGGAACAGGTTAAATTACCTTTCTCTTCACTGAATCCTGTATTCCGTGCCCGCACTATGCCTGATGCTGCACCCTTTGATGCAAGCAATGTTACTTCCTTACAGGTACAATGTGTTCATGTGTTGGTATAATTTTTTAGGAATAACTGAACCTGAAATTGCTGTGATAATTCTGTAGCTCATGTTTAGCAAGTTTGAGTATGACGGAAAGCTGAACCCAACATTTACAGAAGGTTCATTTGAGCTCCCCTTTTCAAGTATTAGAGCATACATAAACGAGCCAATCACTCCAAGGTTTGTTCTTTGTACTAGTTTTACTATATGACATCATCAGAATAAATGAGCACTGTAATCGTCCGATTGTTTGGAAGTCATCAAGACTCACTAGAATAAATGACAATTCTACTTGCAGGTTTGTCCATGTTAGTTCTGCAGGAGTTACAAGACCTGAGAGACCAGGCCTGGATTTAAGTAAACAACCTCCTGCTGTTCGCATGAACAAAGAGCTGGGCTCCATTCTAACTTACAAGTTGAAGGTATGCGCCATTTTTCCTTTATTATTGTGCATTTGTGCTTATTGATTCACATCATGTCTAAATGCTTATCGCATGTCCTTTCAGGGTGAGGATTTAATCCGGGAAAGTGGCATTCCATATACTATTGTGCGGCCATGTGCTCTAACAGAGGAACCAGCTGGAGCTGACCTCATATTTGACCAGGGAGATAATATCACAGTATGTAGAGGCAGCATTTGTTTGTTGCCTTCATAAGATGCCACGCCATTCTTCTTCCTCCATAAGATCAAATAAAGCATCAGTTTCATATAAGTTTCCTGTATTTTTTTTTTCAGGGAAAGATATCAAGGGAAGAAATTGCTTTCATTTGTGTTGCAGCTCTGGCAAGTCCAAATGCAGTAGAGAAAACCTTTGAGGTTAAAATTCTGCAACTCATTTGCAAGACACTACTTGGGACAACAAAACTTCAGAAGGAAATTGTGGCATTTTATTTCATTTTAAGCTAACTCATGTACTTTTTTTTGTTAGGTCAAGAGCACTGTTCCATTCAGTGAACCTTTCGTGGTTGATCCTTCAAATCCTCCTCCAGAGAAAGACTATGATGTGTATTTCAAAGAGCTCAAAGCTGGCATAACAGGTAAAGAGGCACTAGAAGGAACACCTGCTCAGGTCTGAAGAACATGTTAAATGCAGAACGCCCAACTGCTTTGACAAATCTTGACATGGTAATTCTCCATTGTATTTAGGTCTTAACCACTTAAGATATATGAGATTATAACGCTGAATTTCATAAATTAACTTCATGATAGGTGCTTCTTGAACATGAACAGAATTACATAAATATGCAAGTCTGATTCATAAACCACCAATAGTTGCAGTACCTGAGCATATGTGCCACACTTAATCTTTGCAGTCATGTGGTTTCCAAAATACCAAATGGGAAGTACTTTGTGAAGTATGTGAAGGAACAGTTGTTTCTTTTTTTTATGTAAAGTAGTATATCCTCTGGAGTTTGTGTTATATTTAATCTGCTGTATCTGTATGAGAAGATATGCATACATCTTCAGAAGACATATGGATGTCGATCAAGAGCTCAAAGGTTATGGAGCATTGGAGCTCTTTCTGTAGCAGATTCTGTATATTATGTTGCTTTTATTTTCACTGAATTGTGTGCTGTAGATAGCGTCATTGGAATCTAGATCGACCATTTTGTAAAATCAAATACATTGTCATACAGAGAGAAGAGAAGTTTACAGTTCCAGTTTTTTTTTTCAAACTTTTTATGTCTCTTTTTAGTTTGCCCCTCTATTGGTTACTGCAACGCACCCCTCCTTTTTTTAATTTAAAATATACGATGAAGAAATAGGAAGATGAAACCCCTCAAAAGAGAGAATGAACCATGAATATGAAAACAAGGTACATCCATATCACTAGAAATAAATGAACAGTTAAAACACAAGCATTCATATATTTTGCACAGCATCAGGTTTTCTACCAAACTGAAAATCAGTGAACACACCACTACAATCCCTACTACACACAAGTCATTTGAGTACTAATTTTCTACATGTTTCCTCGTTACAAAGCCAAAATTAAAAAGAGGAAGGCAAGGTGAAATTACTACTCCGTGAAACGCAATTATACATCCAATCAATATTCCCATAATTACATGAAAAACTCCCTAAACTGCAGAATCATATCCATGAGTCCTTTGCCTAATGATCAAAGCTCCCCATGCTTCATGCATGTCAGACTGTCACTCACCAGCAGCAAAACACCTGCATCATAAGAAACAAGAACTGTCATTAGCTAATTAAGCTAGGAATTCAGAAGCAGAAATTTGTCAAACACATTTCTGCACAAGTGAGAAGAGCACATGACACAATAGTGCAGTGCAAACCACAAACCTTCCTCCTCCAGCTCCGGCGCCGGCGCTTCCCGCCGCCGGCGAGCACGAGGGCCTCCGGCCGCACCACCAGCGGCGACCAGAGGCCGCTCTTCTCGTACTCGAAGCCGAACTCGCTGGTGTCCTGGAACTTGCCCAGGAGCTCCTCGCTGACGTCCAGCGGCACCACCTGCACCACGCCGGCGCCGGCGCCACCGCCGCCGCCGCCCGCCGGAGAAGAAGGTGGGAGGCTCACGAGGTCCACGAGCGATGGTGGTGAAGAATGGCAGGTCGACATGGCAGCATGTCCTGGTCAGGGCAGACAGAATGCATGAGGAGAAGGAAGCAAAGGAGACTGATGGAATGATATGGATAGCTGATGACGATGATGATGATTCATGCTGAGGGAAAAAGATTCAGATTGGTGTGTAGTTTGTGTGTGTGTGTGAGGGACAATGGCAGGGAGCAGCAAGCAGAGAGGCAAGAGGCAGGTGAGCTGTTGTGTTTGCTTGGTTGCAGGGCAAGCTAGCTGCCAAGATGAACAACATGCATGTGTGTGTGTTTTTGTGGTTGTGGGGCTGGGAGTGAGAGAGCAGAAAGAATCTCATGCTGCCTTTTCTGCAGTTGGAGATTGTGGTTAGAGGGGACTTTTAACGGATTAGGATTCACGTCCACGGTGACTTAATCATTGACATGTGAGCCAAGGTTTAGAGCAGGTACAATAGCAGACTATAAGCTAGCTGCAAACATATTTTAAGAAGATAAATAAGGAGAGAAGGGTAGCGGGCTACAGATTTGTAGCCAGCTGTAGCACGGACTTCAAGACGCAATGTGTGTATGACATGTGAGACCAGGTATTAATAGAGTAGTATATAACTATTGTATGAATGAGCTATTAGATTGGTTATACATGAATTGGAGCTAGTAGTTGGCTATACTATTAAACTTGCTCTTATGGGGCCAATATATTAGTGACAATTAATGTCACCTGACTTTGAAGGTTGAGGATGCTAGTTTCTTTAAAACATGCATGTAGCATACTATCTCTATCCATAAATATAAATATTTCTAGCGTTTAAAATTTTTCCTTAAATATAAACATTTCTACAGTATTATATCATTGAGTATGATGTTTCTCAAAATATCAAGTTTTGGGGCGTATCAAGCAATTTCACAACAACCTTAAATCCTTAATTTTCACGTAAAGGCTTATATTTGTGGACGGATGAAGTAACTACTGTCTAAAATCATTTAACTTTATAACTAATGTTTCGAGGGTAACCCAAATAGAAACATGCTCCTATAGGATTTTCTCTTTACCGGTGTTCAGTGTTGTGCATGCAGGGCTGCATCATTAGTGCATGCATTGTGCTAGGCCAACTTTTCACATGCCTGTTAATTTTAATTAACTAAAAGTTGATGACTCTGGTTAACTCCTACTAGTACCTTTCAGAACAGGTAGGCACAAGATCTGCTGGTGTGTTTAATTAGCCAGGCATCAGCTATAATGGAACTTTGCTTTCTTTCTTCCTTTCCTTTCCTTTCCATATGCTTCATGTGATGCATCGCTGTGATGAGATGAGATGAGATGGAGATGGAGTGAGATATCTGAATCTGGATTGGTTCGTACGCATGATGGCAAATTTTGCAACAGGGGGATGGGATCATGGACGGTGTCCACCCATGCAATGGTGACCATACCCATAGGGCATTGGACCATAAGATGCAAAAACGGCCTCTAGCTAGAGCGATTCACGGTTGGCACGAGCCATGAGATGCTTCCACGAGGTAAGAAGGTTGCGTTCTAGACCGTCCGATCGTGATCCAACGGTATGTAATAATTCGTTTGAAAAATATAAGGTGTTAGATTTTTACAGTCTCCAACCTTACACTTCGACATAGTGTATTATCAACAATTATAAAAGTAACATCAAATGAAAATATCTTCATAAACGAATTTAACGCTAAGTGACGTACTAGTCAAAATTTTCATATATTGACTTTTTGAAAAACAAGAACGCATTATATTTTCAAACGGGGAGAGTAGCACACGATAACCAGAGAAATGAAACCCCCTTGCCATTATGCAATTAACTATATATGGACTGAGACTTTCAGTTTATGGGCCTGAGCTTGATTAGGTTAGTTAGGAAAAAGTACAAGAAAAGCAATTGGCATTCATGAGAATAATATGATGTTCTACTATTCTCTGGGCATCCTGATTCCTGAAGACATGAACAGATGAACTGCCAGTAGGTACGTGACCCTACCCCAATCTTTTCCGATCCATATATATAGGTAGGTTATTCAGATCAACAATGCTGACGAGATTACGAGAAACGTCAAATCCAACCAAACTGATGTAGAAAAAAGTTAGGCGCAGCGTGATTAAACTAATCTCTAGTTAAAATGACTACATCAACTCCATCAAGAACCTTATCATATTTGTATAGCAAGATTGGCTCCTTTCTAAGTAATGATCATGAGAAGTAATGCGTGACATGTAGTACATTGTAGCCAGTTGATGTTAACTTCTGAGCAGATATCTCCATTCCAGATTTTTGAAAGAATGGACAAATGGATAAATAGGGACTTGTTTAGTTCCTATTTTTTTTCCCAAAAACATCACATCGAATCTTTAGACACATGCATAAAGCATTAAAATAGATAAAATAAAAAATTAATTGCATAGTTTTCATGAAAATTGCAAGACGAATCTTATGAGCCTAATTAGTCCATGATTAGCTATAAATGCTACAGTAACCCACATGTACTAATGACGGATTAATTAGGCTTTATAAATTCATCTCGCGATTTTAAGCGAGTTATGAAATTAGTTTTTTCATTCATGTCCGAAAAACCTTTCTGACATCCAGTCAAACATCCGATGTGACACCCAAAAAATTTTCTTTTCGCGATCTACGGGGAATTTTTGAAATGGTGCCATGCATTCAAACAACTCACTCAAAGCCTCCCAATAGAGAGCAATAAGGGGGAAATTTCCAGAAAATAAGAGTGAACATCTCGCATGCCCCACATGAAACAGCGTCTACAGTCTACAACATCAAGAAATCTAGCGGTACTGGAAGGTATAAAATACCCCAAGCTTGTTTCCTAAACACAGCAAATAGTTTTTCCATCTTCTGAAAAATGTTAGCATTCACAAGATACAGAAATACCGGTACTATGCTAGAGACCAGCGAGAGCATTCAACGAGATCAGGCATCGCAATGTGGCTTTGCCCCCACAAATAAAACGGAAATCTAACACCAACTTGGTGCCAGATTATATCAGTGTGTGCATATGCCTTCAATCCTGTGAAAATAATACAAAAGTTGTAAGGAGAAGCAATTGATATCATGATGGCATATGAAATAAAAGCAAAACTATACAGCAAATATTATCATTACCTCTTCAATTGGGGTGCTTTCTTCATTTTGCTTCTTCTCATCCGCCCCATTTTCTTGGTTCTGACCATCTGTCTCCATCTTTTCAGTTTCCTCTGAAGCATCAGCCATATTAGCATCTGGCTTGGGGATTGCAAATTCAGCAGGAATTTGGCCAGTGCTCAGTGCCTAATCATCACAGTAGTGAAAAAGAAATGTGAGCCCATAGTTAGCTGTTCCAAACTGTACAAAGCGCAGGAGCTAAACGAAAGGACATGCTACCTTTTCAAGCCTTGCAACCTCCTCAAGTGTCTGAGAATTCACAATGGCAGCCTGCAGATGGAATAATTGTTAAACCTTGAATTTTGCAGGTAGTTGTACTATACCACCATACATAGAAGATATTGACATCAACAGAGAGCCATACACATATCTAGGAATGCCAAATGCCACACTAACTACAAACAGTTAGAGTTTAGAATTATCAAAGTTAAAAATCAAGAGCATACTAACAAGCCAGTAGAAGCCATAGCCACAATCATTTTTTTAATGCAGTAGCTAAATAATATAGTTATTTGCACAGCTTGCAATAGTACCTTGATAGCTGTGATTTGCTCAGGTGTTGGAGCAACTACTTTTGGACCCTGCTCCTCCATTGTGGTATCTTGAGCATCCACCACCTGTCCAGGAGTAAAAGTTTTGGCTGGCACCTTCTTTGCCTCTTCCTCTGCCTCCTTTGAGTGAAACTTCTGTGCTGCTGCAATTCTCTCCTACAAAAACAAAAGATCTCACGCATAACTTCAGAAATTAACACAAATACATGCACACTAGATAATATTAAAAATAACACGTAAACTAAAAGGCATTCATGTATTTAATTCATTGCGACACAAAGTTAAAGAGTCGCTCTTTTGCCCTTTTTCCTGCCAGCACTTCTGCAGTCCATTCCAAAATCATTTTGGCAGTCATTCCAAAGGAAATGAATGAACAACCTGTGGGGAATAAGTAAACTAATCAAGCAGCAACGCAGTTTCTGCATAGATCCACATATTTCAAAATGCCTTTGTGAAAAAAATATATGTACAATAATATAAACTATATAGGCTTGCAATGCTGTTTAATTTTGAACTCCTTTGAAATAATCGTATGCTACATACTTGCATAAATAAAACATGCAACCTTAATGAGTGTTATGTCAATACATGCAAAATATCACAATATGTATTTTATGGCTCCATTAAACATTTAAAAATAAGAAGCGATTAACTTATGAAACATTGATATAAAGAGAGTTCACAGAAGCACCATTGCACATAGAGCTAAACGAAAGGTGTTTACTGTTTAGTGCTAGAAACTACCATTAGAGATCAAATGGAAGAAAATACTGAGAAATTTAAATAAAAATAAACCATTCAAAATAGAAGTTTTTACAGAAACTTCAAGAGAACAAAACTAAGACTAAATGATTAACAAATTTCATACAAAAACATATTTACATGAAAAAGAACCTCAGCATTGCTAACCTGTTGTTTCACTTTCTTGAAATCCAGCAACCGCAAATGCTTCAATTTATGGATCACATACAACCGGTAGTCTGGCTGCTTGGTTACAGTATTATCAAGTAAGCTAAGAAACTGAAGCTTTGGAAGAGATGCCAGGGGATCGATCTCCGCAAGATTTGTAAGACGATTGTTTGTAAGCACCAATGTATGTAACTTTGGCAAGAACTCTAGAAACAGGAGCAACTGAAGGTAAGTTCTGGAGCAAAATTATGAAAATGATAAACAGATCATAACAAGATAAAATATATAATCTTACCACCAAGATTGGGATTGATACGTGTGATTCTGTTATTGTTAACTAACAGAGTGCCAAGACGATTCAAGTACGGGAAGTTCTCAAGCTTGACAATCTCATTGTCTGACAAGTCAATTGTGTCAAATTGGTCCTATTTGAGAGCAAAGTAACAAAAAGAAGTGTTAAACATGCTGGAGAAAGAAGATAATAAAACAAAAGCTGGGTCAAATACTGAAATGAGAATGAGTATTTTTTGGGATATCAAATCAGATCAAAATGACCATACTAGTTATTTAACTATCAAGTGATTGACATGACAAAGGAAAACCAAGAAACATGTCATTCATAACAACAGAAAGTATGCCGTTAACATACTAATGCTTTGAAATTACATGGGCACATTGTACAACTAAAAGACAGCTCTATCAGCAAAAAACACTAAAAGACAGCTCTATCAGCAAAAAACAATGTGTGGGACTTATTTCCTCTAAACTTCCATAGAAGAAAAACATGCAGAACCTCAAAAAATTGCCAAAAAGAAGAGAAGTGCTAAGCTACCTAGCGTCAGCATGTACAGACAAATTTTAATGCCCCAAATTTTGTAAAATTATTATGCAAAGCACTTCAAATCGCAGCGTTGTTAACACATACTCAACTGAGAATATGAGTTTTATTCCATTCCAGAGATCGAAAAAGATAAAATTGACCATACTGATTATCTAACTATAGGTGATTGACATGAGAAAGGAAAACCAAGAAATGTGTCACTCATAACAACAAAAAGTATGCCGTTAGCATGCTAACGATTAGAAATTCTATGGACACATTGTACATATAAGATAGCTCTATCAGCAAAAGAAAAAAAAAGTTCTTCCAGACTCATGTGGGACTTATTTCCTCTAAACATCCATAGAATAGAAACATGCAGAGCCGACAGTTATCAAGTCCTACAAAAAGTGACGACTGGTGCTACAGTTAGTCCTAAAGTCTTTGAGGGAACACGACTTGAGGGGGCACGACTCCATGTGCTGGCCGCAGAAGACGCAATGGAGTTGAGACTTGAGCGAATGCTTGGGAGGCCTGGTGCCTTGGCCTATCAGGCCCTGCTGAGTGAAAGGGAGATTGAGAGCTCATTGGGTCCATCAGGCGCAGCAAGTTACTAGTAACAGACTAGAAGTAGAAGCAATCTATGTATGTAATAACAACCTGATAGAGTAGTCAACTCAACGACTAGTCCTCAACTATGCTCCGACCAGTCTACTACCCAGTAGACGGTATCTCAACCCGACTTTACAACTTAACAACCATGGCAGAACCTCAACAAAATGCCAAAAAGAAGAGAAGGGCACACTCATATGTTAGTAATCTCTCATACCTATCGTCAGCATGTAGAGACAAAATGCAGTGCCCCGAATTTTGTAAAATTATTTTGCAAAACACTTCAATTGCAGCTTTATTAACACAAAATTGACGCTACGAACTTAGTAGCATTATGTACTACATTTCTTGCATCACTACCTAGGGCACACCCATATCTACTAATCTCCCATACGCTACATCCAAGAGTAAAGCATGTTCCACCACCAATCCAAGAACCCATCATAATACTTCAAATGAGACAACAATGGAGCTAAGGGAAGAAAAGGCTTGCGGAAGCTGGTGGAGCTCACCTCGGTGGCGCCCAGATTCTCGATGATGGGGATCTTGTTACCTGCCAAGGAAAAGAAACACAACAGACAAATTAAACTACCGAGACGGAGGGAATGAAAAAAGAGGGCCAAGAACACTAAACCCTAGATCTAGCGAGCAGGGAGGAAAGAGCGCGCAAACCTCGGATGTCGAGCTCGCGGTCCTTGACGGCGTTGAAGAAGTGCGGGCTCTTCCATATCAGGTCGGCGGTGAGCCTCACCATGGCGCGGCCGGGAGGGCGGGCGGCGGCAACAGCTTCGGGTCAGTCGGGCTACAAACTCCCCCGCGGCGCGAGGTCGAAACCCTAGTGATGACGAGGAGGGGAAGGAACGGCAAGGCGGCCGGAGCCCTAGCAAACGGGAAGGCGGCGAGGGGAGGAGGTGGAGGAGGGCGGCCGCATGCTCGCTCGGGATGGCGAGGCGGCGGCAGCGGCGGCAAAGGAGATGTGGAGGCGGGGTGGGAGAGGGTTCAAGGGTAGGGCTTTTGTGGCGGTGCTTTACGATGACACCCTCGTAGTTTTTATTAATTGAAGAAAGCGTGGATTTTAAGCAAAATCTGCTCGTTTGTACGGTGAGAAACAGCTGATTGTTCTAGAAAAATAGGGTTTTCGCTTATAGTTTATTTTTTAATTTTATAACTATAGCTTCTCAAAATCTGAATGAAATGTAGTACTGTTTATGAGAGCTTCTAATTCTCGGAGAAAGTGCAGCTGGCAAAAGCTCCCCAAACATGGATCATATAGCTACGACAACCTGACCCAATGGGGACACAAGTCAAAAAATGAGCAAATGTCGACCACTTATATGTGATAAAATTGTAATATCTCGAAATTTAACTAGGTGTATGAAAATTCGGAGGGATCATTTGAACACTAAGAAAAAAAATCATTTATGCAATAATTTAATTGTATTATGTGGAAAAAAAATAGGACTCCATCGGATGGCTGATTGAGCTAGGGGCGTTTCAGCCGAAGCCCATCAGATGGCTGATTCGATTAAGCTCATTCAGCCAAACGAAGTGAGCGCACAATGGTTGTGTATCCAACTCTGGCAACAAATCCTATGATCCTTCTAGTGCTCACAGCCCCACACATGGAAACACCTAAAAAGAAAAAAAAAACACGAGCGGTTGGAGGTGACTAGGCCAACGGCGGAGGCTACAACTAAATAGCCACAAAAGATCACCAACACTATACTGGATTATGTCAAAGAATTGCTTTTCATAGAGCCGTTAAAATCTCCGTATGCCAGAGCCGCCCAGTCACCACTCTTATTAGCGATCTCCAATGTACTCTTATATAAGAAAACCCCAAAGAACGATATACTATCAAAAGAAAATGAGAAGATCCAAGGAAGAAGGAAGAATCTGAGGTCTCACCAACCCAATTTTAAACCATCATACCAGAGTGCATTACACAAGACATACACTCAGGAGAGAGTCATGAAGCAATAGAAACAAATTATGCTGAGGAGGTCTTCTACCATGCTCCAATCAGCTCGCAAACCAACTTTCAGTGGCCGTGTTTGTTAATGATGCTTGCATCAAGCATAGAAAGTCAAGCTATATCAAATTACACCCAGTTCAATTTTCTTTGATATCCATTAGAGAGTTAGCCCCGAAGAACAAAGAGATACAGAATTTGCATATAAGAATAACCAAGTAAAAAAAAGCATAAAACCAAGTGATGGACTGACGACACAAGTAAAACCAATAATGGTGAAACTTTAAATGAAAAGCAAACAACAATGTGAGATCTTAAAAGAAAAGCCAAATCCATCAAAACAATGATCGATGAAGACAAAATGAATAATTAAAAGGGAAAACAGAACAACGAGAGCAAGCAAAGAACACGAATGCTATTTGTCACCTGCCATCACATGCGTCCGGTGATGATGACAAGAAAGGATGAGTGGTGTGGGGATCTACTCCCACCGTCCCATAGAAAACGAATATAGAATCGAATATGACACATTCTAGCACTTTGAATATAGATAGATATATGTTTAGATTCGTAGTACTAGGATATGTCAAATTCGGTAATAGATTTATTTTTTATGGGACGGAGGGAGTACTATTTTGTGGAATTGTTTGCCCCCTGATGACCTATTATTTATCGTAACAATGAGATAAACTAGTAAAATCATAAAAAAAATGTTCCAAAAAAATTTAGATAACATATTATTAGGAGTTTAGGACCACACGAAAAATTTATCAACAACCAGGACTATCTAGTATTTCCTTTTTCATCAGAAAAACTGATTTATATCAATTCATATATTTTTAGTTTTCTGTGTGGAACCCAGTGCCTTCTTAAAAAAAGTATCACTACTTTTTTTTTATTTTCAAAAGGACCATTATGCCCCTCCGCATGCCCGGAGCAGTTTTCCCATTCAGCCTTTCTCCCGTCCACGCGCCATATCTCTCTCCCCCTCAACGGCGACGGCCGCCGCCCTCGGATCCCGGCGAGAGACAACCTTCTACCTTCCTGCCCCCTTCTCTCCCCTTCGAGTTCCACCCCTTGCAGCGCCGCTGGCCCGCCCCCTTCCGGCCTCAGATCTGTCAGGCACGGCTATGATTGACGCGCGGGCGATACAAGGTCGTGGGCGCGGCGGCGGCGGCGGTGGCCGCAGCGGCGGCGACTCGAAGCTGTCTACGCGAGCTTGCCGGAGGTCGAGATTATCTTGGTCGTGGGGGACCCAGCTTCAGCGCGTCGCGGCCTCCACCTACCTTCCCTAAGATTCCCTCTCGTCTTCTCCTCCTACTTGGTTTCTTGGGACCAAGAGAAATTGTACGCCATGCTGCAAGAATTCACCTCAAGTTTGCTTTGATTTCTTAATCTGATTCGCCGTCCACACACACGATGCGATCAGCTAGGCTCGGCCACCGCCCGTTTTGGGATTCTTTTCCCCTTCCCCGTTGTACATATTGTGATTAATTGCCCTTAGTTCAGAGCAGTTTATTTAGTATCGATGTTGATGCACACGCTGTGGTTAGAGATTGTTCTGCTGGCTTATACACGAGCAACGGAGGATTGGGTACGACCAATTCAGAGAATTCGTTAGCTTATGTACTTTCCTCTTAACCGAAACAGCAATTGTGCTTGTAAATTGGTGGCACGGTGGTGTTGCCTAGTTTTATGGTCCTAGACTTGTCGATCCATCAGTTGAAAAAATGTAGTGGAATCTTACAAGTTGCTACTTGCCAGAACTTTGCTTTATTATCGTAGACGATTAAAGGACCATAACCTTCTTTAGTATACATAAGTGGCGGACGTAGGATTTTATAAATGGGTGTACGATAAACTAATCTACTTATAAAAAAAATAAACTATCTATTTGTTATACAATATTATCTCTAAATAAATATAAAGCCCAATATATCATAAAAGTTGGACTAGAAATAAACTAAATCTTATTTTTATCTTTAAATCTCATTCTAATACATAGACATGTAACTAGTAAGACTTTGTTTGCAAATGGGATAGAGATAAATATTGTCCATCCATTCATCACACCTCATTTAATCCTAGCCATTCATCCATTTCTCTTTCCCAATCCCTACTCTCATAACTCATTTGCCAACACTACAACAAAAACATTTTGTAGAGGCTCTTTTGTAGAGACAATTTTCAAAATACCTCTAAGTTTTGAAGCTCTATAGTCTAGAGACACTTTTTAGAGGCATTTTTAAAATCACCTAAAATATTTATTTTTACTATAGAGACACTTTAGAGACATTTTTAAGATACTTTGTTAAATTTATCTTTTAGAGACATCTTTTCGACACTTTAAAATTTGCCTCATACGTAAAGGCACTTTCTTAAGGCATTTAAAATAATGTAAAGACATTTTTCCAAATATTAATATATATCAAGTAACTAGATATAAGTAACACAAATCACATATTTACATTTAATTATATGAGGTTGAGATGGTTAGTACATTGAAGATAAAAAATGATCAACTCAAGAGGTCATGAGTTCAAGGATTGGTAAGGGATAATATTTTTCTTTCTTTTTCATATTGATTTGCTATATTTGCCGTAAATTCTTTCTTTTTCATATTGATTTGCTATAGTTGCCGTAAAATTCACCAAATGGCACTTATAAAACACTCTTCAAAATGTCTCTATAACATGGTAAAGGCATTTTAAAAATGTCTTTATAGTATTAGGAAGGCATTTTAAAAATGCATGTAAAGGCGTTTTAAAAAGACACTCTTCAAAATGTCTCTATAACACTGTAAAGACATTTTAAAACTGTCTTTATAGTATTAGGAAGGCATTTTAAAAATGTCTCTATAGTATTAGTAAAATCTCTCTACAAGGTATATTTGTTGTAGTGCAAACACATCCTAATTAGAATATCCGTAAATTCTTTCTTTTTCATATTGATTTGCTATAGTTGCCGTAAAATTCACCAAATGGCACTTATAAAACACTCTTCAAAATGTCTCTATAACATGGTAAAGGCATTTTAAAAATGTCTTTATAGTATTAGGAAGGCATTTTAAAAATGCATGTAAAGGCGTTTTAAAAAGACACTCTTCAAAATGTCTCTATAACACTGTAAAGACATTTTAAAACTGTCTTTATAGTATTAGGAAGGCATTTTAAAAATGTCTCTATAGTATTAGTAAAATCTCTCTACAAGGTATATTTGTTGTAGTGCAAACACATCCTAATTAGAATATCATCACTCACTTCTTGAACAATCCTATCTTCCTATATAAAGCAAAGCATGAAAGAAGCCACATCATGGCATGTAAGAAGCCACATCATCAATAATTCTAATTCGTAGAGACAATTCACCAAATGGCACTTATGAGACACTCTTCAAAATGTCTCTATAACACTGTAAAGGCATTTTAAAAATGTCTCTATAGTATTAGGAAAATGTCTCAACAATGTATATTTGTTGTAGTGCAAACACATTCTAATTAGAATATCATCACTCACTTCTTAAACAATCATATCTTCCTATATAAAGCAAGTCATGCAAGAAACCACGTCATGGCATGCAAGAAGCCACATCATCAATAATTCTAAGCCGTTGGATCGCATTAGTACATAGTTATCAGCCGTTGGATCAAGAAGCTACTCATCTAGTCACCTTCTTTTAGATTATAAGTAGGCGTGACATTGTTATCCATTCTGTACATAATATTATGTTTTCTCCTCCCAAGCAATCCAAGATAATGCAAACTTATCTTCTTTATTTAATATGAAATTATTATATAAGATATGAATTTTGTTTTGTTATAAACAATTGGATAACATAGAGTAATTAGGCATTATTAATCCAAACTTATTTTTGAAATAAGCTTGAGATAAAGTAAAGATGTGCAAACTACTCTAATTATGACGGCATGTATATTGTGCATGAAAATAACTTACGTATATCATAACAATACACAATGACGTTTTAAAATAATAAAACATGAATTGTATTGTAATAGCAGAGGCTATATATGAAGCCACATTATCATTTATTTTGTTTATATACAGAGTTACATCTAATTATTTAAAACATTGATTTTATTTGATGATAAAACTAGCAAATCCCGTGGCAAGGCGCATGGTGCCAACTAGTATATATAGAGCATTATTATCATTGGATTCTCAACAAGTGTCGATCTCTAATTCATCTATAAAAAATTATATGATTATTTATAGCATTCTAGATTATGTTTAATAAAAATATCTTTCCACTTCTTAGAAAACTAGTTAGGTACCTTATATAATTACAATATTATTAACAAATATACTAATTATTATTTACTCATGTAAAAACATAGATAATATATATTACAGAGCACACACATATGAGTTAGCTACTAGTATTCATGTGCAAGTACTAGTGCTGATTGTAGCAATATTATTATAAAAAATAAATAAGAATGAGAAAGCGAGAAGAAGATGGAACAACAGAAGAATATAAGATTAAAACTTTAGTTTTACACCGTATTAAGACGAAGAACAATTTTGTTAATATTAGTATATTATTGATTAATGTGAGTATATACCATACCATGAATGTGAGTAACTTTTTCCCACGTGTGTTTGAGCTAATGACTAAACCTCCTTTTTTTTTCTTACCTTCTTTCGAAGTTCTCCTAATGTGTTCGGTAAAAAAATGTTTTGTTTTGAATAAAATAAAGAAACATTTTTTGACTAGATTATTTTTTAAGAGAATCCACTATGTGCCGCTTACTTTGTCCTTGTACTATAATATGGCACTGAGTTTGTTAAGTTATACAATATGCCATCGTATTTTGCTTAACCTCTATAATATACGTCACCGTCCATTTAGACTTCGTTAGTACTGTATAATTTTGTTCTAATGACCGAAATATCCCCGGGACAGAAATTCCAAAATTTGGCTGAATATTCTGAAATATCATATTATAAACAAGGCAGAGAAGATATTCATCTCAAACTTTGGAAGTTTTACAATCTGATATTTGGAATTTTTCGTCCCATGGCTATTTCGGTCATTATGATAAAATTATATAATACTAACAGATGCTAAGTAGACAACGATGGTATGTTATAGAAGTTAAACAAAGTGCGATGGCATATTAGAACTTGACAAACCTAGTGACATATTATAGAATAAGGACAAAATCAATAACACACGATGGATTCTCTATATATTTTAGGAAAAATTAGAACCATGCCATTATAATTTTGCAAAATCTGATATATGTCATCCTGACCCACATGTCATTGACTCATGTGGGTCCTACATGTCATTGAGATACCGATGGCATATCTCAAATTTTGAAAAATTATAATGGCATGGTTCCAAATTACCCTATATTTTATGGTTGTTTAGTTCATTACCTATCTACTATCGTGCAACATTTTTATAAAAAGTTAAATCTTATGCTATAAGTTCATATCATACACATTAAATTACATACACTTATAATATAATTTTCAAATTATACAATGCCATCTTCACATTTTATAGGAGAAATATGAAAAATGATTTATTATCTATTTAATTATGAGAAAAAGTATTAGTCCAAATTAATGTATATGTAGAAAAAAATAATATGAAAGAATTACGGAAATACCTACAATCGTATATCATGCAGTAAGAAAAGGAGACCACAATCGAATCCCTTATTGTTGAGCAAAATTGATGGCATTAATTTTATCTTTTTTTAGCTAAATCTATCTGACTATAATTAATCAGCCCGTGTTAGTAGAAGTCTGCATCTTCATGCATCAATATATCATAACTCATAACTCATAAGACTATTAGTAATAGCCAAGTACACTGACCCAACAATACTTAATATATCACAAGACTATCGGGTAATGGACAACTCATCTTTGATTGTATATCACAGGAGTATCGGATAACAGACAACTCATCTTTAATTGTGCTAAAGAAAAAAAAGTAAATTATAGTTCGTACTATGTATTCTTAAATGTTTTCATATTATGTCAGCCTTTAACCATTCTTTTCATTTACAGAACAACTAACTTTACATTTCAATTTGGACCAACCTATTTCATCCATCTCCAAGTCCAATGACTCTATAACCACACACTAACTCTCTCTTTCTCTCCATTTTATTTTCCCCCGATAGTTGGGGAACCGCTAGATCCAGCAAGAAGGAGCCTGGATCTAGCGTCTCCACTCTTCATCGGGTCGACTCCTGCCTCCGTGAGTCGCTACAATAGTATGCATGACAAGAGGGAGAGGAAAAAAAGATGGCTCATGGAGTGCAACTAGAGGGTGCAGTTGCGCATGCAAAGACAGAGAGGAGAAACGATGGTGGCTCATAAAGAAAGAGTGGTGGTGGCGGTGCGTGGAGTAATAGTTAGTGGTTACTGGTAGTATGAAGAGTTTGTTGTCGACTCAAATCGCTAACTGAGTTTGTTAATTTTTAGAATGTGGACCACTAGTCATTATAAAGAAATAGTCATTATAAAGAAATAGCTAGTCTTATAAAGTAGTAAAATATTGAGATATCATAAAGGTGAGAGTACTCGTCTAGAGCTTTTAACTTTTTACCATTTTTAAAATATGGTAATTAAGAATTTACTACTCACAATCTATAATACGTGGATCCTTATGTGTATATGACACGAGAATGCTCCTTCTCGGTCGCGCGAGGGGAGGGGAAAAAATCGGTCGCTCCACCCTTCCCCCATCACGTGCGCACCAGCAATCTCTTTGGGCCCCCACCACATGTCCCCTGTCCCCACCTGCCACTTGTCCACACACACAACTCTATTGCAACAAATCACCCACATATTTTGAAAACCCTATATTAAGGGAATTTGGTTTACTTTTTGTTCCACCAAAAAAGTTTCACGTAGTGTACTCATAATGTTTCACTATGTATAGATCTAATGTTGCAGTGAACTAAAATATTCCATTGCAACAAAAAAACCCACATATTTTGGAAACCCCCTATTAAGGGAATTTGATTTATTCTTTGTTCCACCGAAAAATGTTTCACCTAGTGTACTTATAATGTTTCACTATATATGGATCAAAAGTTGCAGTGAACTGAAACATTCTTTCACTATTTGCTGAAACATTGTTTTTATATAAGGTAAAACAACACCCAATTGAAACGAGTGAAATATTTTCGATCTACTTAGTAAAACAATTCCGATATACCTGGTGGAACATCGTGCAACATTTAAAAATAATTCAATAATAAGGTAAATTTTTTTTCGTCGAAATATATGCCTGTGTGGCCTTGTTTTGAAGATTTAATTGCAGCGAATTTAATGATGCAATCGGATTATGATATGGATAAGTAATTTAAGAGAAAAATCAGTTTAAAATAGTTTTTCACGTAAAGCGTCCGATTTTTCTCCAAACCGATCAGACGCACGATCCGTAGACTCGTCCGTCCGTATATACATGTGGGACCAGCGGTAAATTCTTAATAATTCCCAATAGTAAGAGTCTGAGCGTCTTCCCCTTCCCTTTGTGGCGTAAAAGAAAGAAAAGAAAATCTCCCGTCTCTTTGTCTCCTCCGCTCCTTGCGCCGCCGAGACGAGTCGCGGCTGAACAGGGGAGGGGCGGCGATCTCCATCGGGGCGAGCAGAGCAGGGGAGAGGATTCATGGTGAGCATCCGCATCCTCTTTCTGATTCATCTCTCTCTCTCCCATCGGGACTACTTTTGTCTGGAATTTGCTTGCGTTCGTTCGTTCGTTCGTTAACCCTAGCTTCTCTTCTAGATCTGGAAGAAGCTCTTCCCTTAATTTCAGAGCCTTAACCTTAATACAAGTAACAGTTTGTTTATTCCCCGAGAAGTTTGAACCCCCATGTCCCAAGTTGGATCCGCTCCTGTACATAATATTGGCAGCTTGTGGCACTCTTGAATGGAGGTCTTGGAAGATACTTTAGTACCTGTTCTATTAGATTGGTGTGTTATAGGCCCTGTGTGGAATACAAGAATTTTGCTCGGTTTTCACCTTTAATTTTCCTTGTATTTCCACCTTGTTTTGTTAGATCGCTGTTGCTCACTTGCTTGCAATGTACCGTTATCTGAACATCATATGCTTTTTTTCTACTTGTGGACAGGTTTATCACTCTAGCTTTGTTGATGACACCGGGATTACCAAAGCATGCGGCTGTCCTTTGCTTCCACTAAAAACTCATATAAGGGGCCCAGCGCCAGCATTCGATCAAGGTATACTGACACGGTGACAACATAAAATACATTGTGATATACTTCCGTGGTTTCACTCTGACAGAACCATGCCAAGCTGCTGATTTATGTCGTGCTATTACAGACAAGGCTGACATTGTTGATGAAGCAATTACATTCTTCCGAGCAAATGTCTTCTTCAAAAACTTCAATGTGAAAAGCCCAGCAGACAAGTTACTGATCTATCTGACATTTTACATCAATATTGCCCTGAAAAGGCTGGAAGGTTGCCGAACACTGGCTGTTGGGACAAAGGCAATCATTAATCTGGGTTTGGAGAAAGTTCCTGTGCCTGGGGAACCAGGGTTTCCCTTCCCTGGTCTTTTCACTCTACCCCAATCTCAGGAGGAAGCAGGTATATGACTTCATCCGCCACTACCACATTTGTGTGCTTGTATTCTCTTTTACTCCCTCCGGGTTGATAATACTTGTCGTTTTGGACAAGAGCACGCTTTCCAAAAAACAACTTTGGCCATTATTTTTAATTATAATATGTATAAAGGTGTTAACAAATATATGATTTTATTAAAGTACTTTTTAAGACTAATCTATACATGTAGTCACCATATTTTAAAAATGATTCATAATCAAAGATTCTAAAATTTGACCTCACCCTTGTCTAAAACGATAAGTATTATCAGTCCGAAGGGAGTAGTTTCTCAACTGTGTGAAATCATTGTTGCTTTTTATTCCTAGAGAAAAGCTTGCCTTATTTCTCGAATAGTTAGTTTTTCTTCTTTTCCCCCAATTGTTTATCCATGCTGCTTTTCTTCTATACCATACTATTTGTCCTGGCTAGGGAAAAAACAAAAGAATGAAGCCTATTGGAAATTTAGCTTTTGTGAGATTACAAGGGGACCTTTCCAAACTACAGCAATTTATGTCTTAGATACTTTTATTTTGGATTTAACTAAATCTGTAGTGAACTCCTTATTTGATGTCCTGTATATATGTTTTTTTTTTGTCAATTTCTATGGTCTAAACTATAAGTCTGCTCTGGGTATAGAAGCAATAAGTTGCTTACTGACTATTGACAACTGTTTTTAGGAACATCCAAGTTGTAATTGCATCAGTTTTTTTTTTACTTCTAGGGACTAAATAAAACAGTAACTTTCCATCTCTCATGGAATGTGATCTCAATTAAGCATTTCTCTGTTGGATTCAGAACTATTGAGGAATTATCTGAAGCAGATAAGGGAGGAAACAAGTGGAAGGTTGCTTAACTGCGCATACAGAGCTAATGGTACTCCAAACAAATGGTGGTTGGCTTTTGCAAAGAGGAAATTCATGAACATTGTCATTCTTTGAAGTATAGGTATTTTCCGCGACATGTTTGAGCAATTGAGCAGCTTGTAGGAATGGTAATTGCACTTGCGTACTTATTTCTGCGAATACTTTAGAGAATTAAAGGAACGACAATGATTCTACACCTCGATTGATGGAGCCAAAGGTTCTAATGAAACAATGGATAGAATGTCAACAATTTGTTTATTGCAATGGATGAACACAAGGACACCTTTCAGCTGTTATGTTGAATTTCTATTTTTCATTTTTATTGTACTCCGTCCGTGCCCTTAAATTGGGCATGTATTTTTCAGATGATGTTTGAATAGCGAATGTTCCGTGTAGGACATTTGTACAGATTTAATCAGGTGTAATGAGAATGTGAATATATATTTTCCTGATCCCTCTTTTTTGTATCATTCGTGTTAATCCTTTATCTGTTTTTTTTTCAATATGATTATAAGATATGGAGAAACCTGGACGTGCGCTTCCCTGATCTTGCCAAACGTTGGGAGTAAACTGCTGCTTATAAACACCTCAAGTGTGAATTGGCATGGTTAATTTCATTATTCGATGAAGCATTCTTTGATACAAGGTGCTTATAAACGATTTGAATGCAAAGCCCATTGCATCACTGAGACCTGAGGTGATATTCAAGCTCTATGGCTTGTCAGTCACCATGTCATTCGACACAAAGGATATCTAATGCCAGGTGTTCATACATAGATTCAGAAAAACAAAATATCATTCGACACAAAGGATATCTAATGCCAGGTATTCATACATAGGTTCAGAAAAGCATTATTGACCACCAACGCAACGCCCAACAGAACTGTTACATTGTGTAAATCCTCTTCGACAAAAAAAAAAGAAAAAAGAAAAAAAAAGGAGAGAGAGAGAGAGAGAGAGAGAGAGAGAGAGAGAGAGAGATCTCAACCTGATCACAGAGTTAAATCCCATGACATAAGGACATCAGAAGACTAAAATGTCGTTTTTAGCGTGTTTTTACCATCTAAAAGTTCCATCATCCTGGCATGAGCAAATCCAACGTGTTGCTTCAGCAATCTTCATCAGAGTATAATAAACTGGCTAATTCAACAACCATCTCCGGGTCTTCCTTTCTACATGTTTGCCCAGCATAGTAAATAATATGTTGGTGTTCAAAAACAGCTAGGTTTGGAAATTAGCCCAGTTACAAGCTTTCCAGATAGCATTGCACAAAGATTCTCACCAGTAAATAGCCAGTTAGTTATGGTTCTGCAAATAAGGCAGAAAAGGGGGCTTTACATGTGACACAAAAAACAGGTTCAGTCCATGCATTTCTTACCATATTACATATATGAAGATAGCTGGCTAAAAGTAAGACGAAGCATGATATGGTTGAAAGCATCAAATTACTTCCACAAACACTACACAGGATAAGAAGAGGAAACCTCTTTATTGTTTTTAAACCCAGACCAAATTTTGCAGCACACCTCAGATGAACATGTTTCCAAACCTCCCAGGCACCTTCTCAAATGTGTGGTCCTGAGATATTTAGTATTAGCATGAAATAGGTACCGTAATTTTTGTTGGGAATCCATGCTATAATTTTCTAAAGAATGATGATTATATAAGCTAATAAAAAGGAACTTGCTCAAAAACCAAGTAACTAACAAGAGATATTACCCATTGAATGGATGAGATAATCAATCAAAGTATCAAACTAACGATGTTGCAAAGAGCATGTATGATAAAATTGTCAGGCCATCACAGTTGGTATGTGTCACACAATCTCATTGGTTGAATTTGATTTGAAAAGTTAAATTTGTTTGAAATGGTAGGCTTGTAGAGATATGGCCAAAGATATCCACAGCTTTCAATGGAAGTTATCTTTAGTCCCCAGTCCTCTACAACACATCTATCTACCAAGGATTGTACAATGGAGATAACTGGCAATAAGAAGGGCTACCACTCAGCATACAGATATTAGTCTAAATCATTTGGACAAAATTCCGCTGCTAAAGCAAATTCATTGGTTCTAGCACAAGGCCAAGGCTATGGCATACAGCATGTGATGGAGTTCTGTCAGATGCTATCGCATACCTTCATGTTCAAGAGCCGAGCAAAGAAAACATATGTGCAAGGAATAAAACACCATAGTGATCTGTTAAGACTTTAAGAACAAAAAGGAAAAGAAGCCAGTGCCAGTAGGTTTGGGAATTAGCAATTTATGATTTTGAGTCACATGCAGTAAAGTACCCACATCCTAAGTGACTAAGACACTGGACGAAAATTAACTCAGAGTCTATGTATAGAAACAGTTGTTGACCACGCTACAACATGGGTATGATGCTATTTGTCTGATTTTCCAAATTTAAACTTGTCAGTTTCCTATGCTGCTATGAAGTGATTATTGAATCTCCAAATCCAAAGTTGGTCTTGTTTATAAGGATGTAGAAATAATTCCAGAGGTTTTTGAAGATCCATGGAAGAAATACCATGCGTGCATTCTACTATATGACCCAAAACGGCAGCTACATACTCAAAGACATTGGAAGATCAAAGCAGGGTTTATTCCAAATATCTTTGAAGATCAAAGCAGGGTTTATTCCAAATAGCAGTGCAGTTCACGTCTGCCAGGGATAGCCATAGCATTGCTGGCAGATCCTCCTAGAGCCATCAGCCTCCATGCCAGAGAACTCATGCTGTGATTCTCACAGAGCAATATAGTACATGCTACATAAGAAAAATATTCCATTTGTTATTTACCTTATGTCCACACTCTTCTTTGGCCACAATCTTTTCCTTGTTTTGTTTTCTAACTTACCAGGCATTTATACATAATTACCTATAGCAGAGTCATAGACACAGACAAGATATGCATATATACTTCTAAATCAGCAAGTGCTATTTAGACTTCATTTACCTTTCTAAAAAAATGAACCATATAAAAATAATGCTCACTATTATCATCTGATTAAAAAAGGTCTAGCTTTTTTCCACATATATTATTCCCTTTAGTTCTATTGGTAGTGCAAGTTTGTAAAAATAAATATCAATAACAACACAAAATGATAAGTTTTCAAATCGAGTCAATGTACATGCAACTAACTGGTGGACCACATGAATCATATTCTTTATCATGTGAAAATGTCCATGTATATTATGCTTTGCTATATGGAACATCCTTGTGGATATTCTTCCTCATTTCATGCCCTTTCAAAACTCTGGAGAAACCTGATACACAACTTATTCTTTGGAGAAGTACCAAAAGATGTGCGGATCAAGCAGCTCTTGGGCATCGAAAAGCCGCATAACACTTACGAGATCAAATCGTTAGTGCAACATTGACCGGAACATGCTTACCAACAAAGTCAAAGATTTCAGTTTGCACAACCACTGAACTTCTTTGTCTTAGTGTTCTCTCCTTCCAGAAGGTCTCGCATGGCTTTACAGTTCCTAAAGAAAAGTAGCATAACTGATTAATAAGCAGAACTGTCCATAAAACAACCAAATATAAGTTCATCACTGTAATTATGATCACAAACATCTTAAAATATGCTTCATAAGTATGTCTAGTAGTGTTTCAGTGAAGAATAACACTTTGTAGAAACATGACTCACTTTTCATCTTGGGCTCTTAGCTAATTCATTACTATCAGCATCCCTCTTCTGCCCATGATTGATTCATCAACCAGAACTGTTTTGACACGGCTCAGAGTGCTCCCTTTTCATCCAGTGCTAGTCACGTAGTGCCCCATATGAACCTGGCTCAGTTGGTATGCCAGTTTTAATTGGGATCACTATTAATATACAGAACCATAAAGGTTTTAAGTCATGTACACTTCACCCACCTGCATATGTTTGGAGCTAATTCTACTCTTGAAGGTGTAAGCATACATTTAAAGCAGATGGAGAAGGCAGTGCAAAGATTTTAAATTAACTTGCTGTATTCTGAACTGCTGGGTTACAATTTCCTATTGTACTTGTATGACAAAAATGGCACTTTAATTTGTACTCTGACTCATTTCAAATCTAAGGTTTGTTTTTCCAAACACATCCTAGGTGGCATAAACAAAATATAAAGTGGAAAACGTCCATAAAACGAATAAAACACACACACACACACACACACACACACAGAGAGAGAGAGAGAGAGAGAGAGAGAGAGATTTCTTAGATTTTGAATCATTGCTCATGGCCAAACCACATCAAAGATTGATTGTAAAGTTTGGACCTTCGGTGGTGGGGTGTGTGGGTGTGTGTGTGTGGGTGTGGGTGTGTGTTGGGGCTATGGGGGGATGTGGAAAAAATGAGCCAATTTTTAATACACCTAACAACGGTATGATGTTTTTACTACTGTTGAAAATACAAGTTATATTTATGTTCCATTTCATAACTAACAAGTTCTCTTTCATGTCACTGCTTGATAATATCATAATAACATTGTTTCAGATTTCGGCAGTGATTTGATCTGATCAAAACCATATGGCGAGCTCCTCAGGCTGCATGTACAAAGTATTACTTTATAAAAGTTGTCCTTTGCTGTGAAAGAATCAGATGCAGTAACGGATTCTTCATATACAGCTTCAAGAGCACCCAGGGGGAAGATCCATAAGAATGTCCCAGAACAGAGCATAATATCAGGCTATCAGCAGGATCCACGAAATGGAAAAGAATATGATCCAGACATGGCCCATCGAATTCAAGCTCATGTTCAAGACTGGTTCCCTTTTGTATTAGCAACAGAAACCAGAAGGGTACGGGGGTCAGTCAGTTATAAGATGCAAACGCAAAAGTGACAGTTTATTAGCTGCTCAAGCATTGTCAGCTTAGGTAGCATATTCCAAGGCATATCCAGATTTTACTCAGTGATCTTTGTGCTATATATACCTGAGTTCAACAATTAAAATACAGAGCAAGGAAAATATTGGAAGCAAAGAATGACGAGAGGAGCAGTAATGGGCAGATTGAATAAATTGTCAGGGTGAGAATCACAGTGCAGTTCTCCTCTGGCATGGAGGGCAAGAGGAGCTGAATAGCTAATGGATGATAAACTGCTAGCCTTTCCCTGCCAAAGGAGAGCTGCCCTGCCATTCAGTGACCCTGAATTCAGCATGCGAGCTTCAAGCTGTGTGTTCTGTTTTCAGTAGAATGTTGTGAAGCACACTGCATGAGGTATGTGATCATGACTCTGTTTTTCATATTCTTTGAGCATCATCCATGGGTGAGGCCATAACAACCTCCTGTTTTAATAGTTTATAGTTCATGAAACTAATAGTTAAAGAGTTAAGGCCTTGAGGGTGTACTACAAATGGAAAGATCTAGCAACAACTCTAAGCGACACATTCACATAACATATCCACAGTTAAAGAAGGTATCATGAGTGTCAAATGACAATTAAGAGAAAAATCACTATATTTAATAATAAAAACCCAAAGAAAAGTAACAAAAATACATGGATTTAATAAGATATGAAGTACCTAGATAGGGATGTATCCGAGGATTTGAACTGGGGTTGTCAGACCAAGTTGGTGGCATGCAGCCTTGCAACAGCAACGGCTATATTCATAAAAAAAAACAGAAGATGATGGTAACAAAGGTTGTTCTACTTCTTCACCACAGCATGCCACCTTGAAGAGCATCCTGTCCACCATCGAACCTGCCACTGTTTATAGTTAGAACTCATTTATAGTTCCATAGCTAACCCAGTCGCTAATCCAAATCAAGCACCATAGATATTTGGCATGTTCTAATTAACCTTCCTATCCAAACAGTGGGAGCAATCATTTGAAAATGTGAACCATCCAGTTTCTTGCCAATCCTATTTAAGTTAGACAGAAACCCTCATATACTTACCCTCAATATTAAGAGCTTCACTAATCGGATTCTCCATTACCACAGAAAATTAGAATTTTGGTACCTAAATTTTCCAATTAATGAAATCATTTGAAAATAAAAACTTAATAGTGGTACAGCATTTAGCATGAGGTAGAGCAAGATTTAAGACATGGACCAAGCTGTCACAAGCAACAGCATTGCTCAGAAAAATGCTCTAGAAAATCAACAAAGCTATCATGCATCATGATTTCCTAAAGGATTGCAATTTTATTACTTATAGCAATGCTACTCGAAAATACAAGCTTCGATCTAAATTCTATATGTTAGATTTAAAATAACTCAGTCTTAATATGCTACATTATGCCCGTCCCAGTGACAGTCCTTATTTTTCTTTTAAAAATGTGCTATTATTTAGAAAAATTCTATTATTTAGATCTAACATATTTTAAAATAACTCCGAGCTGTGGCCGTTCAGTGGCTGCAGTGCTTATTTTTCTTTTTTGTTATAACTATATTTGTTCAGCTCTAATCTTGTTTAATTTAGTCTAATAATAGGACCTTCCCCTAGTATCTTAGTCTAATAATAAGGATCCCTCCCTCCCTCCCTCCCCCTCTCTCTCTCTCTCTTGATTTGGAGGTGAATGATTAATGTTTATGCATGATACTAATAATTATTGTTTTTTGCCTGCTCTGCTTTTTCTTCTTTTCTTAGCAAAGGTTCTCCTGCTTGCTAGCTAGGTGGTAATAGTCATGGCCGGGGACAGAGTCAAGGCCAGGGGGAGTATAAATGTGCATCTGTGGTTCCACCTAGTTCTGTGACTACTGCAGCTAAACTCTTCTTTCATGATGCACGTAAGAGGGTCAAAGAACTTGATTTTGGGAACCTGCTCAATATAAAGCTGGAGAAACTGACAAGTAGAGAGCTTGCTGCACGGCTAACAGATCAAGCTGAAATTCAAACAAATCAAGACCAAACTGAACTCAACAACAAGCCTGGAGAGTCGCTATGCATCACGGTAGAAGTAGTGCATCTAATTCTTACCATGCGGCGTGGCTCTGTTCAGGAGCTCACGTCACTGCCTACAAATGAGGCATCAAAAGCATTCATCTCGATATACAGTGTGTTGAAGGTCAGGGATGACAAGTTCTCAAAAGTAAAACCCATTGGGATGCTCCTTTTGATGATTGACACTAAGGTACTTGGTGTTGTCATGTGTTGTAGTTAACATTTGTTTGTTCATGGAATTGGCGCAAAGTATCAAAGGTGTTCAAAAAGAGAAATAGAAAGAGTACACTAAGTAACATACCTAACAACTGGAAAGAAAACATTAATGAGGAAAATATATAATCGATGCAGCAAATACGAAGTAAATGATACACATTGTTGAAAAAATGAGTTTGCAATATTTGACACTGGCACGTAAGGAACACAGCAGAACAGAAAATTATGAAAATAGCTTTCTATTTTCTAATATATAGAGAGAAATGAAGATTTGTGGGACAACCAGGTAAAAGTCTAATTTATAGAGAGATGAAGATTTGTGGGCCAAGCAGGTAAAAGTCTGAAAAATAATGATTTAGATGATTGATACATAATGGCAACTAAGTGGCATAGCTACTATGCAAGACTGCAGTCCACATAACTACTATGGCCATTCCTATATGCATAAATCTCATTACAAAATGATCATGAAAGATCTATTTGATTCCTAACTAAACATATACTTGCACATAAAGTTAGGGCCTTGGGGGAGACAAATAGCATTTGAAAAACTAGTTAACTACAGCGCGTGAAGGCAATGACTACCTGACATCGTGAAATGACACAATAGTACCACAAGGGACAACTAAGCCACCAGAAAAGAGGTAGAAAAAATACCACAAAAAATTTAGTCAAGCAGTTAAAGCCTAAAGATGTTATTTGGCTGTCAATACAAAAGGGGCAAGAACAACAAAAAGCATCTACAAACCCAAAATACATGGAGAGTCATCCAACTTGTTTAGATGTGTCATATAGGTCACTCTACTTTCAAAATGCACATTTGAGCCATCTAACTATCCACGTGAGCACACCTTGTACACCTAGCGTGCCACATAGGATTAAAAAAATTGGCTGGGTATCCGCAGCCGCTGTCTCCTAGGATTGCGCCTCCATCTCTGTTTAAGCTTGTCGTTGCTGCCACCTAGGATTTTGCCTCCATTGCTATTTACATTCATAGCTTGTCGCCGCAGCCGCCGTCACCATGTTTGATGGCAAGCAAGATAAAGGACTGAGAACTAGAAGAACTCATCAAAACAAGCATAAGTGAAATGATTTGGTTTCCCTAATTTCGTGTATCTCCAAGTGCTAGGGTTGTGAGAAAGGAAAAAAAAATACACATGCGGTTTTCTGCACATGTCCGAGAGCATTTTTTTCAATTATAGGTGGCATGCCATGTGTACAAGGTATGCTCATGTGGATAGTTAGATGGGCAAATGACTTGCTTAATTCACATTAGTGACCTATATGTGTATTTTGAAAGTGAAGTGACCTACATGACACACCTAAACAAGTTAGGTGACCCTCCATGCATTTTACTCATATATCTAGTACTACCCACCAAAGAAATACTGTTAGGCATTTGCATAAGTTATTTTTCATGACAGAAGTGTAAGAACTAGAATCCCTGGTTTATTTTCCACCGTAAATGACAAAAGAAATGCCGACATAAATACATTGTCGGTGGAGTCTAGGAGCAATATGCCGAATAACAGGTACAGCAAAGGAAATACGGAACCGACCGGCATCCAACATTCTATAGGATTCAAATGGTCAATATATCCATCAGTAAATTCAGTGTATCAAATGATTTCAGAACAACCTTTGTCAACTAGGTATTTGTTTTATGCATCTGAAAAAAAAACAGTATTAGAGAATGGATAAATCATACCCCGATGATTGTCACTGAGAGCCTTCAACTTCATGTCCAAAGCTCCCATCATCACAAACCAAAGGAAGCCAGGCCATACATATACGGTCTCCTGAAATCTCTCCTGAAACAGTCTCTCAAGCTTCATGTTCTCCAGGCAAAGTGAGAAGAATTAAGTAGGGGGCATGGCCATCAGGGGAGACCTCCACTGTTGCCAAGTACACATAACCAGCCCTAACTCACACAACTCTCATGCCCTTGTAACTGAGATATGGGTGTCAAAGAGAATATCTTCTGTGATGCCCATCTCGCAATTCCGTTCCTGACGACTCTAGGGATCCAGATGAGGATGAGGAAGTCTATTGCATACACAATGCAAAGCCCTCAATCCTTAGTCTCCCCAGCCATAAAACTGCAACCCCTGTGTCATTAATTCCCATGGTAATTCCACCCTGGAGAATTCCATGGCCACGGTGTTCAGCGTCATTCACCATCGTAAGGCCAGTAAATCGAGCCATCCACTAGCACGCCAGCATTGCCTCATGTTGCTGTCTCCAGCAAACTCAACCCATGGATGGCGATATGGATGATCCAATTCCAATCCCATGGGTCTCGGAGGACGAAAAGACCGCAAGCACAAAGCCTGAATTCATCCCTGTAAACCGGAACAGCGCGGAAGCTCCATGCTCTTCCTGTTCCAGCTCGATGCCACCGAGCAACAGCGGGGATGAAGTACACGTCCCAGATCAAAGGGGTTTAGGATGGCGAGCCTCCTGTGGGTTCAGCAGGAGGAGGTCGCCACGCCACGGCATGCCAACCGTGGGAGGCGTAGTCCTCCAGCTCGTGGCTCCACGGAGGGCGACGGCGGCGGCGGCCGAAGTCCGGGGTGCCGGGGAGGATGGTGAGGCCGCCGTGGTCGGTGAAGAGCCCGAGGGGGCAGGGTCCGGGTGGGTGGAGCAGGCGGCGGAACCCCGGCGAAAAGCCGGGCGGCGCGGGAGCCCACGAGCTGCAGGCGAGGACCGCGCGGACGAGAGGGCATGGAGGGACGGGAGGGCGAGGAGGATGTCGTCGTTGAGGGAGGCTTACGGTGGTGCTGGTGCTGGTGCTGGGGTTCGGTTCGGCTCCACGGAGGCGGCGCCGCCCATTGCTCGAATCGGAATGGATTGCGGGGGTGTGAGCGCCTGAACGAGTGGATGGACGGTTGTTGGGTTGTGTACAACGGTATCCATTCTCTGTATTAGAAAAAAAAGAAGAAGAAGGTCAATCCTAGTCAAGGTTTGTAAGGAATGTGTTTTTATGGAAACTCCGTTCGTAGGACTACCTTGCATGACGCCGTTAATTTTTGTGTTTGACGTTTGACCATTCGTCTTATGTAAAAAATTTATATAATTATCATTTATTTTAATGTGACTTGATTCATTAAATGTTCTTTAAGCATGGCATAAATATTTTTATATTTACACAAAAATTTTGAATAAAACAAATGGTCAAACGTTAGTCGAAAAGTCAACGGTGTCATACATTAAAATACGGATGGAGTATTGTCGACATTTGATGTCGCGATTCCGGTATTTGCATAGTATGGGGATCGTTGGTACTAAGATATACGCGAGACTGAGGTAAAAGAGATGGAGACGATGATTTTTATACAGGTTCGGGCCCCTGAATTATCAGGTAATAACCCTACATCCTATTGGCCGAAGCCGGTCATTGATCTTATTCATCATAATCACACCAGTACAATATTTGGGGTAGCCTATCTAACTGTTGTCAACGTGGCGGTCTAAAGATCTGACTCGTAGTCGACAACAGGGTAGCCTTCCTCCTCAAATCTGCATCCGGCGAGATCAGAGATAGCGCTAGATTCCTCTCTTTGGTTCCCGTAGGTACCATATCGGGTTTTCCTAGGCTTATGTCTGATGTCGATATCTAGCAGCTTGTCTTGGCCTATGTAGGCTTGTATTGGCTTGTGGCTTTGTGGCGTCTATGTTGTCCGTGTCTGTTGGTTGTGTCTCCTCTTCTCCTAGGGGGCCTTGTATTTATACCCATAGGTGTCCCCTTGTCCAAGTAGAACTAGGGAAACCAGTATGGATACAATCCGAGTAGTCCTTGTCGTTTCCATGTAGAACTCTAGTCATTCTTCCTTATGCGGAACTCCTCCTATATCCGAAGGTTGTTTCCGTATAAGACATGGTATGTGGTGGGTCCTGCCGAGATTTAGTCGACTACTATTAGGTATGTGGTATCCATAACACTGACAGTAGCCCCTGACTTCAATGCAAATGAACAAATTCATATTCTCAACCGCAGACCCTGGAGTAACTGTTATCGAGTTCACGTGACCGTTCTCGGTGAGTTCAGAGATAACGTTAGACTTCCCTTATCAGCCTCGTGCGGGCACCTATAGGGTTTGTCTGAGTCAATCTCCGGCGTCAACCAAGAAAATACAGAGCATACGACTAAGTCTCCCGTCTTGCTATAATCGAGAATTTGGATGGAAGTCAAGAAATTTTATCTCGGCGGGTACACCATGTACACCATTTCTTCATTCCGTATTCCTTGTCGAGATCCACCAACCGTTCTCGAGTGGTCGAGAAGGCACAGAGCTTGCGACGAAGCCTTGTCAACATCTGTTGTACTCGCCTTAGTCGATCTTAGTGTAGAACCATAGAGACATGGAGTTTTCAACAATGTCGAATAGAATTTCCTTAAATCAATACTCAGAAAAGGATATTAGATAGAAATAGCCCCCGAGCAAACGCTCAAAGGGTGACATGTTATAATGTGCATGGAAAACTGAAAATGAATTAAATTTACAGACCAATGTTTTGTGTATGAGCGTCTTCTCTTTTACCGACTTCGATCAGTCAGTTTGTTGAGTCATACACTCTCCCTAACCCCCAGCCTTTTCATCGGAGAATCGTTCTCGGAGGATAAGTCTCTTGGACCCTTGACCTGCCTTGGTTGAAAAAGCGCTGACCCTAGCCCCCAGTCGTGAAGTTGGAAAACTCAATTTCCGATTACACGGCTTGGTTAATACGCACGGCGAGAACTCTTACATGACCAGATCTTACATGGCCGTTTGTCTCTATAGGATCCGACAAGGCCTTATCCGCTCTGGGCGTCCCTAGCCAAAGTTCCCTTAGGTTTCTCAGAGGCCTTGTCAGGACGGCGTAAAGGGACATGAGGATAGGTTTCAACTCTAGGTGTCGTCGTGGTAAGGGATCTCTGGGTAAAACACTTGGCGATATTGTGTACCTGATATCAACTTTGTTGGAGTAGAGGTAGTGGGAGAATCGTTATACCTCTGGTCGAGGACCAGGTAGTAGTCGTAACTCGACCACTTGAAGTAGAAATAGTGGGAGAATCGCTACACCGCTGGTCGAGGACCAGGTAGTAGTCATAACTTGACCACTTGAAGTAGAAATAGTGGGAGAATCGCTACACTGCTGGTTGAGGACCAGGTAGTAGTCGTAACTCGACCACTAGAAGTAAATGTACGAGAGATCGCTACGATTGACTGGTTGAGAACCAGTGAGTAGGTGTCTCTCGACCATTTGGAGTTGTGATACGAGGACCGCTACGTTGCCGGTTGAAGACCAGTCGTAGATGTTCCTCAACCATCTGAAGTCATCTGAATTCGTGGTGCGAGGACCGCTACGCTATTACCGTAGTTGTACCTCGACCATCTAAAGTTAAAGCGCGAGAGATTGCTACAATTTACTGGTTCAAAAAGCAGCGAGTAGAATTATCTCTCGAACGCCAACGGAGGTTGTAGTGCGAGAGATTGCTACGGTTTACTGGTTCGAGAACCAGCGAGCGAGTAGAATTATCTCTCGAACACCAATGGTAGTTGCGGTGTGAGAGATTGCTACGGTTTACTGGTTCGAGAACCAGCGAGCGAGTAGAATTATCTCTCGAACACCAATGGAAGTTGCGGTGCGAGAGATTGCTACTGTTTACTGGTTCGAGAACCAGTGAGCGAGTAAAATTATCTCTCGAACACCAATGGGAGTTGCGGTGCGAGAGATTGCTACGGTTTACTGGTTCGAGAACCAGCGAGCGAGTAGAATTATCTCTCGAACACCAATGGAGGCGCTAGAGTTGGTTTATTACATGTGCATCTCATGTGGGCAGCATGACTCACATACCCAACTCGTAGCATATCCGGATGTCCGCCTGCGATCATTTCGGGTGATCAAGCCGACATCGTTTGCGAGCAATTATCCGTTAACAACCCTTTTCTCAAATAGCCTAGCCAAAGCCGGCGCTATGAGATAGGTCGTCGGTCTTCGTTGGTAGGTTGGGTGCGACAGCTCTGCATTTGCCGAGAACGTTCTCGATAATGTATGTGCTTGACCACAACCTACTCGAGTGCTCACTTATTCCTGAAAAATATTTTCTAGAAGGCAAGATATATAGCAGAGAATATCGAGTATATACTCAAAAAACTGCATGGATCTTCTAGTATTATCAGAATATAACGAGCAGATGTAAACATCATGCATTATGTAAACCATAAAGAAGCATGATTTATACAGAAGAAAATAGAGCGAGCCCCCAGCGTTAGACTGTAGTCAGCCTAACACCGGAAACACTCGCATAATAGATATTGTATAAAAGACATGCTCTAGGTAAACATAATAAATTATAGATCTGACAATACTGTATGATCTGAATAGGTATGATAAATTACATATAAAATATTGCGTACCTTTGTAGATACATGCCGGATGTATCTATGAAATTAGTAGATTAATTTAAAAAACCAATCTACCAATTAACTTGTCGCGTACTCGTTCGACATCATATGATCTGACGTCTTTTGGTACGCCGCTTATCTTGAGGCCTGGTCGATCTCGAGAGATCAAGTTGTTGATGATGATGGTTCCGATCTCGTCGGGAGACATACTCCGGTCGGGTTGGATCTCCCCACAGCGAAGTCGTCGAGTAGCTTGTTGTCGGAGAATCTATCTCTTGAACCCATCTCGTCGAAATCCTGAAGCACCAAAATCACCCTACCTGGCGCGCCACTATCGACGTTTGATGTCGCGATTCTGGTATTTGCATAGTATGAGGATTGTTGGTACTAAGATATACGTGAGACTGAGGTAAAAGAGATAGAGACGAGGATTTTTATACAGGTTCGGGCCCCTGAATTATCAGGTAATAACCCTACATCCTGTTGGCCGAAGCCGGTCGTTGATCTTATTCATCATAATCACACCAGTACAATATTTGGGGTAGCCTATCTAACTGTTGTCGACGTGGCGGCCTGAAGATCTGACTCGTAGTCGACAACAGGGTAGCCTTCCTCCTCAAATCCGCATCCAGCGAGATCAGAGATAGCGCTAGATTCCTCTCTTTGGTTCCCGTAGGTACCATATCGGGTTTTCCTAGGCTTATCTCTGATGTCGATATCTAGCAGCTTGTCTTGGCCTATGTAGGCTTGTATTGGCTTGTGGCTTTGTGGCGTCTATGTTGTCCGTGTCTGTTGGTTGTGTCCCCTCTTCTTCTAGGGGGCCTTGTATTTATACCTATAGATGTCCCTTTGTCCAAGTAGAACTAGGGAAACCAGTATGGATACAATCCGAGTAGTCCTTGTCATTTCCATGTAGAACTCTAGTCATTCTTCCTTATGCGGAACTCCTCCTATATCCGAAGGTTGTTTCCGTATAAGACATGGTATGTGGTGGGTCCTGCCGAGATTTAGTCGACTACTATTAGGTATGTGGTATTCATAACCCTGACAAGTATAATATAAGAGATTTTGATTTTTTTTACTTGCACTATTTGATCATTCGTCTTATTCAAAAATTTTTGGAATTATTATTTATTTTATTTGTGACTTACTCCCTCCGTCCCATAATATAAGGGATTTTAAGTTTTTGCTTGTAACGTTTGATCACTCGTCTTATTCAAATTTTTTTAAAATTATTATTTATTTTATTTGTGACTTACTTTATTACAACTTTTTGTTTTTTTACATTTGCAAAAAAATTCTGAATAAGACGAGTGTTCAAACGTTGCAAGCAAAAACTCAAAATCCCTTATATTGTGGGACGGAGGGAGTACTTTATTATCCAAAGTACTTTAAGCACAACTTTTCGTTTTTTATATTTGCATAAATTTTTTTAATAAGATGAGTAGTCAAACAGTACAAGTAAAAAGTCAAAATCCCTTATATTATAGGACGGAGAGAGTACAATAAATACAGTTATAAAGAC